TAGAATGTATTACAACTTTACTGGATTACACAGACTCAGACCAGATTGACCAACAAGTACAGAAGTGGAACAGAACAAGGAAGAGAGATGACGAGCATTATCACAACAACAACAAAAATTTGGACTAAAATGTTTCATTACATGTTTCCTTACAAGTTTGAGGGCATAAATTCACAAAATGTCCTTGGAATTTTGGAAATATTGCAAAAAAGCTCAAAACTAGATATAAGGACAGTCCACACTAGCAAATAAGGTTTAAATATGGGCCACAAGCTAGAAAAAAAATCCTAAAATGTTGTGTTAAGGTGTTAAGCTTTCACAATTAAATCAAACTAAAAAGTCTAGTTCGCCCAAAAAGTAAAATTCTGTCATCATTTACTCATTAAATTACTACACTACTGTTCAAACATTTAGGGTTGTTAAAAAATTTTTTTCTTCATACGTACACCATGACTGCATTTATTTGACTAAAAATACAGTCAAATAGTAATATTGCTAATAGGCATGTTACATTTTTTATGCAATGTATCAACAATAATATAAAGTAGCATTTCTTATAATTATCATCAATGTTGAAAACAGTTATATGTGGAGACTGTGATACTTTTTTTCAGGATTCTATGATGAACAGAAAGCTTAAAAAAATAACATTTTATTAAAAATCTTTTGTAACATTTTAAATGTCTTCACTGTCACTTTCAATCAATTTAATGTGTCCTTACTGTATAAAATGTTTCATTTCTTAAAAAAAAAAAAATAAAAAAAAAAACCCACCCCGTGCTTTTCGGGTCAGGCACAGTGTATTAATGTGAAACACACACACACACACACACACACACAAAAAGTATTTTGAAAATGATTTGTTTTCTATATGTTTTTTATACAATGAAAGTCAATGGGGTCCACTGATACAATTTTCATTTTTGTCTGAACTACCTCTTTAAGTAAAAGGAAGTCAACGGAAGGTCCTCAAAAGTACACGTTTTGTCCAAGTTTGTGTGTGTGTGTGTAGTGAAAGCAATTCCAAGGAGCCTGTACTGGGCTATTTATTCACTAGAGACTCCTGCCTTTGTTTTTCCCACACTTAAATAAAAAGACGTGAGGTCAGCCTCAAGGGACTGCTCGTTTTTTAGATATTTGCATGAATTAATGTGACCCCTGATTACAGTGAATGTCACACACGCACATGAAAAGTGATGAGGTCACTAAGAGAAAACAAGGTCAAACGACAGAACTCAGAATCGGACAACAACATTTTTATAATGCTAGAGTTTTCTAGGTGGCTGCTAGATGGTTACTTAATACTCTATGACATTTTAGTTCCAACAACATTTTATTGTGTTCTTTCCAGCAGGCATTACAGAGAACTGGTATTATTGGAGGAACTATCTACATAAAGATAGTAAGTTATCGCTCTGTAAGTTATCTACACTGTAAGTTATTGCTCGTTTTGCACTGTAGGTTAAGGAAGTTGTGTGAAGTGAGTCTGTGAACTTTAACATCTAAGTCTGTGAGGATCATTGTTGTCATTTGCTGAAACGGTGTTCGTTTTACTGGCAAGGATTTTGCTGTGGTCTCATTGTGAAAGGAATGCTTACCAGACCTTGGGTTTGTTGAATGTTCAAATGTTAACATTAGCATGCTTAGCCGAAACCAATGAGAACAATTTGGGCTTAACTATCAAAACAGTATCTCTAATGAAAACAAGCTAACCACACTTTTCGCTTCCAAAAACAAACTGAACCAAAAGAGAGAGAGAAATATTTTGTTTAGCGCTTTTCAGTACTAAACACCTGCTTAATCTCCTAGGATTTAGGAATCGAGCTACAGCCAGTAAGATTATCAACAGGCCCTGAGCAATTCATTCACATATTCAGTTCATCTGTCTACTGTAATGCACAAATAGCTGCATACCCGACACATCTTTCTACTTCTACTGTAAACTACTACAAAACGTTCTTCCTATAAACTTTTCAAGACAGATCTACAATGAACACAGTGGTTGTTAAGGCTTGCGATATGCCAGAAGCCACAAGTCAGTGAGATTGTAGCTTTATTTTTAATGTGTTTAAATAGAGTGCATTACTGCCCGGCCCGCCCACTTTTCTCTGGAAGTATTTTTCTAATAGGGAGTTTTAAAATGTCTTTGCTAAAGCATTATATATCGGCCAGCTACGAGGTGAATCACAACTGTAAAAAAAAAACTAGTTTGAAGATTAAAAAAAAAAAAAAAGTATTTGAAAATCGGTAGGGCTGGGTATCGTTCAAAACTTTTCAATATCGATACCGATACCTTGACTTCGATACCGGTTCCTGAACGATACTTTTTTCTATACTAATTTTATGAAATTCGCTTTAACAAGATTACATTACCTCAAAAAAACCTGTTTTATTTTTTTCAGTTTGTTGACGTTTTTACAGACTCAAAGACTCATCTCCTGAGTCTTTTGTTTTAAAACGCATAGCTTAGAATCATCATTTCTATTAATTTTACACTGATTTACGCGATCTGATGCGCATTAGCAGCTTCCAGCAGTGTCTCCCTGTGTTTTCTCTTCCGCGATCACTGTTCTGACTCATATGTCACTCATATTACGCGTTCATCACCCGCCCTGTCTCCTATGACGAACGTCCATTACACTTCCGTGTTCAGTTCTGTACATAGAAAACCCAGGAAAACATTTCTATGGATGAAACATGAAGCTAATAAACACACGATTATGACAGTATATGAGTTATGTGTGATTTTCATGAGATTCTGCCTATTTTCATAACAATAGGGTGTTTACATGAGAAATGTTAAGCAGGTGTGGTGATTAGCTTGATATAAAAGGCTACAAATCACATATTTCAGCAACATTATATGACCAAAACCAACATTAGATCACAATCGTAAGTTACTACAAACACTCAGTGGTGGTTTAAAGTGAGTATTGAGTAAAAGCGTAGTACAAATCCTATAAATTGTCTTATGTAGCATGATGCTACAAGTGTGCATGAATGGTCACATTATACGCGTTTTCCATGATGCATGAGCCAATCACCAGCACTTGATGTAGGAACATCAAGCATGCTGCATGCTTATTGGCTCACTGACGTTAATGAGATTAACCCCTTAGGTATCGAAATTTGGTACCGAACGACAAGTAATTTTTTTGATACTCTGTGGTATCGAGGCAATTCAGTTGGCGCCTAAAAAACATCAAACTCGATACCCAGCCCTAAAAATCGGACAAAAAGACAAAGGTTAAAGGTGGGGTAAGCGACTTTTCAAAAACGCTTTGGAAAACTGATTCAGGCCGAATAGCAAAACAAACTTGTAGCCAGTCAGCAGTAAGGGGCATGTCTACTCATGATGTGGAGGAGAGAGAGTTCAGTGCACAGGACAGACATTAGCCGAGCCGAGCGACAGAAAGATAGAGATGGCGGATAAAAAAAATAAATAATAATGAGGAAAACGTCTGCGGAACAAAAGAAGGCTTAAGGCAATAAGGCAAGAAGTAGGACCCATGTAAATATCGAACCAGCTTTCCAGCGCTGGAGCGAAATCAAGGAGCGGAAGGCCTGCGATCGGACGCTGAGGTTGCTTTGTTTCTTCACGATAGGTGAGTAACATCTGCACCGCAACAGATAAAGTCTGTCTAGTACACTGGATGCGATAAAGCGACTGTTGAAAATCATTTGAAATTTGTGTCAATACGTCATGTCGCTTACCCCACCTTTAAAACTGTGTACTTGACAGCTTTAATAAAGGAAATCACTACAATCCCAAAAAGCACCGTGAATGACAATTTTGGCAAAAACCTTTTTAACTTAATTTTAACTATTAAAACCAAAGGAAAGTGGACTTAGATATGTTTGTTTACATAGAAACAACATATTTTACGTTTATTGCAATAGTCGTTTGAGAGTGTAAAGGGATAGTTCACCCAAAAAAAAATGTCTTCTGTTGAGCACAAAAGAAGATATTTTAATGTTGGTAACCAGTTGATGGTAACCATTGACATCCATAGTATTTTTTTCCCCATACAACTGTTTGGTTACCAGCATTCTTCAAAATATCTTCTTTTGTGCTCAACAGAAGAAAGAAACTCATCCAGGTTTGGAACAACTTGAGTGTGAGTAAATTATGACAATTTTCATTTTTGGGTGAAGTCATTCGCAGAGCTTCATGGGAGTGTGCTCAAGTTCAAGTTCACGTTTATTTATAAAGGACATTTAAAAACAAGTGCTGTACCAAAGTGCTGTACAATTTTAAACAGTGTGAGTGTGAGGATAAACAGTGTGAGTGTGAGTGTGAGGATGCTAAAGAGTTATTTTGGTGTGATTTGCTTCAATTAACGACCTTGAAGCTCCCAGTTGGTCTGTCTTTTTAGGTTTGAGTTATTGTTATTGTTAAAAATCAATTCTCCCATGGAGAAAATGCATGGGATTTTTAAATCCAGAACCCAACTGTTGCACTACACAACTGCTGTACTACACTACCCATAATCCTGTAGCAAGATCCACCAATCAGAGAAGTTGCATAAAGTTTTATGTTCAAAGAAACAAGAAACAAAACAGCTACCACTAGCTTTGCAGGTGTTTGGTCAACAACAAAATCCCCTGGCAACCAAACTGCACTGGATAAATTATGCTACGTACAGCCAGCATTTGTTTTGCTGGTCTATGATGATCAACTGAGAGGATCGTTTATCGTTACACACCTGTCTCTTGAACAGATTGCGAAACAGGTTCAATCATTGTGTAATGTAGGAACTTCAAGTCATTGATGGATTTTATTTGTGTAGAACTGAACATCCATCATTAACTTTTGCAACTTCAAACCAATTTGTCATGCACATTTCCAAAGAGGTTGGAAATTTCAACTTTCTGAGTTGAATGAAACACAGCACAGGAAATCTTTACTAAAGAATTTTCTGGACTCCAGAAGAATGCTTGTGATTTCACACATTAGATAAACATCTGAAACAAACTGAATTAAGGTGAGATCCACTTACCTGAACAACTTCTATTCCTCTTTTCCTGAAAGAAACAAAAGAAATATATGTATTATTTTTTGCGCATGCCACAGGTTTTGACAAAAAATGATTGAACAAGAACAGGATATTAAATTTACATTTTTAAATTTAAGATACCATCATAGCGGATTACATTCTGACATGAAAATGAAGCCTGGATAAAAATATCTGTTACCTAGCAACACAGAGTTGAGATCCAGAGAAACCCTTACTGGCCGTTGGAAGCGAATCGACACCACGGAAGCTGGTTTGAGCTAGAAACCGTCGTAAGTCAGAACCATCAAGAAAACCTCTACATTTACACAACACACAACAAGGAGCATCTGTCACAAAGCAAGCACTAGTCAAGTGTCAGAATTCACCCTAGCGTTTCTAGAAAAACAACAAGACAGGCTGACACACAAGAATCAGTTCGCTCTGTTTTCAAGCGGTCAAATTTTGCACTCAAGTTTGTAACGTTAAACATGTGCTGCACTGCACTTTGCTTTGTAGTAAGATCCTGACATTGGGATATTACTACAACATTAAGCATGCTGGTGAGGAAACCCTGTGGATGAGTTTATGGGGTCATTAGGAAGTCAGGCAACCATTTTCTCTTCTAACATCAGATTATTCAATGTCAAGATAATCATAAAGTGCATGAGCCAGAGCTTATTATTCTGTCAGGAAACATCATGAGTGGGTTTGTGGGAGTTATTTAAGTGTCTTTTTTTTAGTTATTTAATAACTTTTCTGTGTGGGTTGATTTATTATGGGAGGAAGATTATTTTGGTGGGTGATAGAATACAAAAATTTTGATATGGAAACTGAAAAAAACATTTCTCGAGTTTTAAGGGGTGGTTTTCACAGAGCCCCAGTGCCTCCCTGGAAAACATTGGGTCTGTCAGATCAAACAGATGAAACATGCCTCAACTCCTCCTGAATGTGGACTATGCTGTCAATATTACATTAAAGAAAACGCGTGCCAGAAGGCATGAAATAATGATATCCGTTGTGAAAGGGAAATAATTAAAAGGAATTTTTCATTGACTATATAAATCAGGGGTCCTTGGCTAATGTAGCACTTAAATGTCAACACTCCCTCAGAAACTGACTGGGAATATCAACGTTTCAACGAGTCCTTCCCTGCCTCCTGGGGCTTTCACAAACAATACATTTTGGCGGACGATTAATTGTGATACAAATAAGTGAGATGAATGAAACAGACATTGTCATTTTTAAAGACCCCCTGTGGTGAAATCAAGTTTTTAATGTTGTTTACATGTCTTTCTGGGGTTTTTAATATGCTTAAAGACAATGAATGACTGATAACCGTTGACCCAATATTGCCACTGCCACTGTGTAACATTTAACTAAGTTAACTGAATGAAAGTAGAGCAGGTCTGATCTGGTGCTAATTATCATATTCATAGGTCTGCGTATACTCAATGAGATAAGGGTGAATATAATCATATTTCCCATAATATAATTGTTGATTTTGATAAAAAATACAGTCTTGGTGAGCACTGAGCATAAGAGACTTCCTTCAAAAACATTTTTTTTTTTAAATCTTACCCAAAACTTTTGAACAGTAGTGTATCTGCTTTGATTTAGGGCAGGATATTCTACCAATCCTTAAAAAAAAATGGGATAAAATGATCCAGAAGGCGGCAGTAAAATCTAACAGTGGTATTGTATAAAACGAGACGTGGAGTTTAGGACTTTGCTGGGTCACAGTGACAGATCAAGGCCGCTGGATTTAGAGATACGGAGTACAGACAGATGTAGGTGCAGCTCAGATTTCATTGGTTTTATTCTATTATCTAAACGAAGCAGAATACTGGATAGAGAAAGCAAAACATAGTAAGCACAATCACTTTTATTATGACTAAAATAAGAACAAGGGTAAAAGAAGCATTTCAATAGAACAATGTGCTCAGTTTCAGACATTTTCCTTATAAAACTCCCAGGCTTCCTCATGAATCACCCACACTTAACTGATAATGTCAACTTATACCAGAAGATAAAACTATTTTCAAGACTTTTCATTTTTGGGGTTTCATTTCGATTTTCTCAACTTTTTTTATTGCAGCAACAATGGGTCAAACTCTTTTTAGAATTATTGTTGCCCTGGTTACAAACAAACTGGAACAGTTGCTTGATTAGTGTGTAGCCTGCAATTAATTGTGAAATGAAGACTGCGTTTGTGCTGCGGACAATCACAATACTTCAAATCATGTAGATTGCTTATAGGGAGAAGTGCATTATTACTTTTCTTTATGATCAGATGAGATCTATCTAGGGACCAGAATATCAATGGGCTGTAAGTATCCAACAATGCCCTAGCAACTAGGCATGAGACGTTACCAATTTTTCATATCACAATAATTGCTAAAGCTTTTATCACGGTATAGGATTAAACAATAGAAACTTAGCAGTAGTCCTCCTAATATAATAACTTTGTTTCATATAACAAAAAGCAATGTAAACCCTAATGCTCAAAATAATTAATTCGTTTGAGAAGGGAAAACTTAAATTAAACAAGTTAGTTTAAACAAATTAACTTTTATTATTTACAACTTTTTTTTTCTTGAATTCACAAAACTACGGAAGCCCGTTTCCACCACTGAGTAAAATATAAAAAATGGTAATTGCAACTTTTTATCTCATTTTCATCAATTCTGACTTTTTTTCTTTCAATTCTGAGTTTACATCTTGTAATTCTGACTTTTCTGATAATTGCATTTCCCAATTGCAAGTTATAAAGTCAAAATTGTGGGAATATAAACTCGCAACTGCGAGATATAAAGTCCAGTTTTGAGGGGTAAAAAAATACCATTTTCTTACAATTGCGAGTTTATATCTCACAACTCTGACTTTATAACTCGCAATTGCATGTTATATAAGGTAGAACTATGAGATATAAACTTGCAATTCTGATTTCCTTTTACAGAAAGAAAGAAAAAAGATAAACAGTTGCAATTAACTTTTTAATTTTGATTCAGTGGCAGAAACAAGCTTCCATACAAAAACTGACACATTTGAAGTCATCTGAATTTCAGTTTCAGTTCTACTGACTTAAAACTTGGAATTTCATAACTTAAAAATACTAATGTACCTGACTACCTCAAATTCTTTGAGTTTTGACAACTTATTTGGGGTTTACAGTTTACAGTACACAAATACAATAAAATGCTACACAATACAATGTATAAAGTTGTATCAAATGTTTCAAACAATAAAGAACAATAATAAAGAATCAGAACATTATCTACCTAAGAGATGTTCTCTGGCATGCTTTAGCACGGATGTAAAAATGTGTAAAAAAAAAAAGTGTTAACTAATATCTGAAAATAAACATCCAAATCTTTAAGTATTTGGTGTTGTATGAGGAACACTGTGACGAGTGGGGGCGGGGCCGAGAGCCGTGGGAACGGAGCGAGGCCGGTGGAGTAATTGATAATGAGCGACACCTGCACCACTCACCGGTCTCGTGTCCCACAGAGGAGCTCCGGAAGGATAAAAGGAGGAGTGACGACAGTGAAAGACGAGAGAGGACCAGGCCTGGATTTTATTTTGTGTTTTGTGTGCGGCAGTCGTCCGCGAGGGGCTGCTGCTTTACTTTCATTTTGTGTTTGTTTATTTTATTAAAGTCTTAAATGTTCGCCGGTTCCCGCCTCCTTCTTCCCGTGACTACGAACTTTGTTACAAACACCATATATTTTTAAGTGTCTACAATAAATGGCCATTCACACAGAACACATTTTACATGAGACGCAGGGCACTGGGAAAAAAATAAAAAATAAAAGGTTGCGAGCATAGTGGTCAAACACGTCAGTCTAGTGCATGTTTACAAAGAAGAACAATGGTTAGGCAGTGCATTCTGTGTGAATGATCCCTAACAACATTGTGTATTTGTATTACCACGATATATCATATTACGAAACGTCTACCTACAACACACTTAAAACGACTTAAAACTCAGAACACTTTAGCAACCACATAGCAACATTCTGGCAACCATCCATAAAGGCAAGTACAACTCACATTTTCTTCAGAGAATGTACAAAAATAGCCATTATTAGTACCGTTTGCCAAAGAAAGAAAAAGAAAGCTGAAGAAAAAACAAACCGCAACCTGCCCGGCAACAAAACAAAAGAAGAATAAAAGGAACAAAGAGGAATAAGCAGTCATGACGGCAAGTAAATGAAGCATTTCTTTAAACCTGTGATGAAAGCTATTATTTTTTTGTCTGTCGCTGTCATGAATGTTAATAGAAGATCATTAACGCCAAATGCTCACAGAAGACTAGTGGTCATGTAACATTGCCGAAACATGAAAAACAACCTGACAGTGCTAGAGAAAGCCTGTCTGACAGGAGTCAGAACTGCTGAACAGATCTTCCCTGAACTCAGATTGCCTCCGGACAGCTCGAGTAATTTGGCTGAAGAGGTTACGAAAGGATTAACATTTGAATCCACAAAACATTTTTAATCTGTGCTAGTGTGATTGACATGCTCATAAGGTCACCAACATAAGTGGCATTCAGACTCGCAGTAACTTGATTTACTCAAAAACGTAAATGTCCTTAAGTGGCCCAGCCAGAGACCGGACTTGAACCCAATCAAACATTTCTGAAGAGACCTAAAAATGCCCAACCGATTGTCCTCATCCAACTAGACAGAGCTGTGCGCAGGTTATCCATTGAGGTATAGATATTTTAAACTGGTATAAGCAAAGTACTGGCAGATTGGAAAGACCAAAATCTCTCAGGTTTTATTAAAAATATCTTGTTTTTCCAAAGATGAACAAATGTCTTATAGGTTTGGAACAACATGAGGGTAAATTATGTATTTTAATTTTTGGGTGAACTCCCTCTTTCTGGCTTTCCATGTTTTCACTGTTATATGGTAAGAGGTGCTATTACAAGAGTATTGAATCCCTGGCTCAAAAAACGGCGAAGAAGCTGAAACAAAGCAGATGTATATGTAAAATAATGCATTTATCAAACATTAAACAGCTAAT